AGCTTGGGGAGATTTTTCTTACGCGAAAACAGAGAGATTGTAATGTACATCGTATGGCATCGTAATACATATCGTATATGGGTCGAGCATTTGATTCTCTTCATCGCTGAATAAACGTCACGTATGACGTACTACATACCTGTGAAAGGGGAAAGATTACTTGTTTCTCACACTTCTTATTCTATTACATTAGCGAGTTAACTCTATTGGAGTTTTTATAATGAAATTTTAATAGAAAATCTAAATTATTAAAAAAAAGTAGAGATGATTTCCCTTTCGATGAAATTCGTGAAATTCTATTTTTGCTTGTGATAAAAATTTCAGTGAGAAACTCGCTGTAAATCTCGATTCCCTTTCCACTCTTGCGAAGATAAGAGTGCTCGAATCACGCATATGTATACTCGCACGTACACACACACACACACACACACACACACACACACACACACACCACATCCCTCTGCATCACTTGTATCGCTGAATTCCTTTCAGAAAAGACTTCATTGCCACAGCAACCCTCTTGCGTGTAATGTCTATATACACAAGAGGCATACCTCTGCAGAGAGTCGCTTTTCCCCCTATGCGTCGTATATAATCCTAAATAGTTGAGGAAACCATCGCAGAAGAAAATGAAATAAGATCAACCCATGCCTCGAGGAATAAGTAAATAGTGCACGGAAGGAAAACCAGAAATGGAGAAGGAAGGCAACGAAATGCGCAGTAGACCTTTTGTTTCGTCATGAGAAACTTAATCGTTTTTGAAATATATCTGTACGGTCTATGGCTAATTGTGTATGTGTTCACCTTTTTTATATCTTAATGGATTCTTTCTTTCGATTTTTCCCCCCTTTCTTTTAGGTATCAAGCTGAAAGGAAGACCATAGATTCATGAAGAGTAAAACGCAGAGACACGAAAAACGTCATACACAAAATCATTCGGTATAACTAACGTTTATAAGTATCCTAGTCTTTTTTCGCATGAAATCCTTTGAAAGTATGAAAATTTCCGGCAAAGCCTCGCCTCTCCGATGCAAAGCATTGCTCGGCTCTGCATAAATATGGCATAAGCGCATCGAAAGCGCAGTCAAAGACTCTTGGAATTTTCTGCCGTTTGTGCATCATCGTCGTAGTCGTCTCGTGCACAGCGCATCGACGAAAAACTCTTAAATATTTCCCTCTCGCTTGACAACGCGTTATACATACATCGCGATATTGTGTTTACATGCATTTATTGAAAGCAGAGAAAAAAACCGCTTACAATACTGAATAATGCAGCAAGGCATCGATTTCCATTTCACCTCGGCTGCTGGTATATCGCCTAGCGCTATGCACCCACATACGAACACAGGATGCGCTATAAAAAATGCAGATCAGATGCTCGCAACGAGCGCCGGCGCTTAAGTGTAGCCGAGAGAGGGATTTATTTTAGTGGAATACACACGACGGCATGGTTACCTTGTTTTGAGCGAGCGCGCGCTTAGGCGAAACAAGTGCTTGTCTTATATATACATCGGCAGCGTGCATATCCTCCGTGGCGCTGTTTTGCTCGAATATCCGTGCTCTTGCGTGTACTACTGAACTTTTGTTGCGCTCGAATATTTTTGCTCTTGCGAACTTTTTCACGTTGCACGAGGGTGAAATGATCGCGTAGCGATGACTTTTGTCCGTTAGTTAGTGTGTGTGAGTCGATGTTCGACGCCCTCCCCTCCAGCTGCACAATGAAACTTTCAAACGCAGCAAGTAGTTAATAACTTGATGATCTAACGCGAGAGATGCTTTTTTTGTCGAGCATTCGAGCAGAAGATCACCAAACAAAAGGGAAAATAATGAGGGTTCCGGTGTATCGATCATTCGTAACGACAGTCATAAATTTCTATTATACGCTCGCAGTGCCGGAATCACAATCGTAGACGCGTACCGATCCCCCACGCAAGAGCCCACTTATAACCAGCTGGTTAATGTTTAATATACAACAAATCTCGAAGTCACATTTTAATTCACGGAAATATTGCTTCCTCTTGATATTTCGTACGTGCATATTATGTACCGCATACGTATCGAAAAATCCAAGTCGCACGAAGCGGCAGTAACGAGCACGGAGTTGCGCGTCAGGACATTTTTGCAAATATATTCGCATGAAAATCACAGAATCTATTTCTCCTCGTTGCTGCTGAATTCGTGCGTTGCCAGTGTGCTCGGAAGGCGCGCGCGCGTATAAGGAAGAAAATGAAAATCCCTCACACAGTGAAACATTCATGATTTTAGGTGCCGAAGACAATTCTCCGGAGAAGCATGAAAGAGTAAGTACAGGAGCGTGGCTGAAGCAGACGCGGCGCCCAAGTACGCCCGGCTTTATTTATGTCGCGCGTATTGATGAGACGAGAGACTCGTGCATTATGAAAGAAGCACTGCGCGCGCGGTAGCGGCAGCCTGTGGAATCGCGCGCGCAGGGTGTGCGTTAGTGTGTACTGCGTACTCCACGAACTATATACGTGTGTATACTTACTCCCCCGCATCGTGCGGCAAAGTGCGTGAAAGGGCAAGTATTAGGTAGATGTATGTGAAACATTGATTGTTTTTCGCTCCTGGAGTAACGAATGGATGCGCGCGCGCGAGCGTTGCGGCGAACTTGTATAGTTGCGTTAGGGCCATTACTTGGGTTACTTGCGCGCGAGCGGCTCTTACTATGTAGCACCGCGCGGGTCAGACCAGAGAGGGTATCTTTATTGCTGTCTGAAGAGCTCTTCACTCTTGTTTATTCCTCGAGCGCTTTATGACTCCATTTGTGCACCAGAATTATTGAGCGCTATCTTAACTAATTTATTGCCAGCCAAATGATTCTCTGCTTCGTTTTGTAACTTGTTTTGCTATTTTTTCTGATTGCAGGTAGGTGCAGCTGTAAGTTGAGATGCGCCTCGGAATGTGATTTTTACCAAAAGCGTAAGTTGAGAAATGACTCATTTGTTCGTATTGATTATTGAATTAAATATGCCTGATATTTTTGATGACGCATAAATTATGTGTGATCCCTAGTCGTGTATCATTAACTTGTCGACAGAGAAAAAAAGTAGCGTATCTCGCTGTCCTAGAGATCTTTGGAGTTGAAATCAGCTCAAGCAAATTATTGCCCTCTCCCGTTGAATTTTTCAAGCGCGAATTCGCCCCCTATCCGTAAAAAGTACAACAGCAAAAAAATTCATTGGCCTCTATACTTACGTACGAAATGCTGAGAAAGCTTTCTTAAACGTCGCTGTTACGATGCTTTATATATCTGTGTGTATCGCATGAAGGGCATGGAAGCGTAAATAAATTAGAGAGACTGTGTGTTGTCGCGCAGGAAGGTGGTTGCGCGTATAAAAGCAAAAAAATAGAAATTGAAGAAGGCAGCAGCAAAAAAAAACGGAGAAAAAGTAGGATGAGTTTGGAGAAGATTGTAAGCGGGTCTTGAAACAGAGATAGTATACAGCTTCGAGAGACGAGAAAAAGAAAGAGGAGATTAGGGTGGCAATACACGCAGACTTTTCCACGTTGCGATTAAAATAAACAAGTCGACGACGAGGACGAGGACGACGATTGAGCCACGTAAGGCTGATAAAATGAGAGTTGATAAAAGAAGCGCTCGGCCTTAAGCTCGTGTCATCGTGTATTTGCGTTCCTTTTTTTTCGCTCTTTTTTCTTTTCTCATTGTATAATGAGCTCGGAAAAAATTTAATATTGTCGGATAAAACGATTTGCATGGAATAAAAACTATCGCTGAAGGCACCTGAATTTTTTGCGCAAATGTATAACATGTAATTTTCATTGAAAAAATAATACACCTTCAATCATCAACGAGCCGCAAATTTACGTGAAATATTGAAAGTATTTGCTTTACAAATTGACCTCATTCTCGCGGATATTTATTAAAATTATTAAATGTTTGGCGGCACGATTTTCGTATAAATTGTAGATAAACACAATAATCTCATTTATCATGGGTTAATTAAATGCATAAATAATGTAACCAAATATATATGTACGATAAATAATCGAACGAGTCCTGGTAGATATCATCAACGCTCCTACCGTATCGGTTTTTCGCTACGGCTCACATATTACGCTATGCGGATGAATGTCATTTTGATCGCGGGGAAAAGTATATATGCACTTTACGCGTCTAATAAATAATTTCTTTGATTAAACATAGGGTTGCTTCGCCGTGCCAACTTTTCAGCTTACACAATACATGATAAAAGCTTTCTCAATTTCTCACTCTACTCAAAGGTTTAATGTTTTTGAAATTCCACGCGACGCAGTGAGGTACTATTGAGCTTGCAATGTGTAGTAATATCGCTATGAGTGTGCGTATAGGACTGTTAATATTTTTTGCAGACGAAGTAAATAAAAAAATTAATTTATATGTTACCCGTATCTGTCATTTACTTGTTTAGTTTATATGTACACGTTATCGTTACATAAATTAGTTACAGTTTAATCCATTAACCACAATCACATTCATAATTTAAATAAAAAATATAAAACAAATATAAAAATTACTGATGTCAGCTTTGTTATTGGTTTCGCCTAGAGCAATTTGTTATAGGCCCGAAAATGATTTGGCGTGTGTGGATTTGTATGTATTCGCGTGTATAGTAATATCTCGGAAAAGTAGTTTTAATTGTATTTATTTTCGATTGTCTTAATTATGAAACTGGAAAAATGTATTTAGTAATTCAAATGAAAAACATTCTTCACGATATTTGAAATTTTTTTTAAATTTTCCAAAAAATTATTTTCTGTTGTTTTATATTGTTCAAGGATTTTCTAGAATTATTTCTTGTATTTTTATAGCAGTAAATCTTTAATTGAAGACGAATAAGTTACATCCTAAAAAATGATGTTTATCTTTGATTTCTTATTTTTTGCAACGATTTAATATTTGTTTTAATTTTTGTAATCTTTGTATTTGGGATTATTAGTTCTCTAGGAATAATGAAGTAGCAAAAAACTTACCACAAAAATTAAATAGTGTGAACATGAATTTATTTTCGATAATTTACATTTTAACATATGCTGTGAAATTTTAGATTTCAACAGGTAAATCATATAATTATACTTTTAATGAATCTAGTTTTTTAGATTACACTTTTGCGAAAATAACTTTCCGCATCAATTACATTTTTAAGATTTCTAATCTTTATGCTTTGAATCCGTATGAACTTTAAGATAAGCTTTAGTTGTAAATATCTTTTCACACTTTTGACATGGGTGTTTGATACGATTATGCACTGAACCAACATGAATTTTGAGATTACTCTTTTGTGAAAATGTCTTATCACAAATGTCACACGGGTAAGTAATACGATTATGTACTGAAGCAATGTGGATTCTGAGATGAGCTTTTTGTGCAAATAACTTTCCGCAAGTTTGACATGGGTATTTGATAAGATTATGCACCGAATCGATATGATATTTCAAAGCAATTTTATATGTATATGTTTTTCCGCAAGTATCACAATTGAGAGGTTTCCTATCATTGTGTACTGAATCAATATGGGTTTTTAAATAACTTTTTCGTGCAAAAATCTTTCCACAAGTGTTGCATGGGTATTTGATACGATCATGTACCGAATCAATATGGATTTTCATATCATTTTTTTGTGCAAATGACTTGTCGCATTTAACACATTTGTGAGGTTTCTGATCGTTATGCACTGATTCAATATGGATTTTTACATAACCTTTTCGTGAGAAAGTCTTCCCACAAGTGTTACATGGGTGTTTGATAAGATCATGCACCGAATCGGTATGCTTTTTTAAATCACTTCTTCGTGCATATGACTTGCTGCATTCATCACAATTGTGATGTGTCGTACCATTGTGAACTGAATCCATGTGCATCTTGATATCCTTTTTACTTTTTAATGTCTTTTTACAAATATCACACGAATATTTGCTACGATTGTGTACTGAATCAATATGGGTTTTCAAAGTACTTTTTCGTGTAAATGTCTTTTCACACGTGAGACACGGATATTTAATATGATTATGCACGCAATCAATATGCTTTTTCAGAGCACATTTAAATGTAAATGACTTTTCGCATACATTACAATTGTACGATTTTCGACCATGATGTACTGAATCTCTATGTACCTTGAAATTATTATTTTTTACAAATTTCTTTTCGCTCGTGTGACATGGGTCAATCATGTGATTCTGCACTGAATCTGAAGAAATTTGAATGGAGGAAATATACTCATTCACTGGAGCATCGATTTTCATATTCTATCCGTTATTTGAACGTGGGAATCTGTTATGAAATTTGATTCTTTGAAAATGTTCTTAAAAATAATAATTTTATCAATTACGTAATTATTAATTAACTCACAGTACTTTCTGGTAGATACCGGGTTCACTGCAAATCTTATTATCGGATGTCCCGTCTTCCGTTACACAATTATTATTTGCTTTTTAATACAAACGATTAGACTTTTCTTTCACATTAAAAAAATTAAATGAAAATTTTAAAAACCTACACTTAGCTATATTATTGTTTTAATTTACACAATGACAATTACTTTATAGAATTGTGAACTGTATCGCTAAACTTAATTTGTTGAATTTTAGACGAGTCGACTACTATCTCTCTATAGATCAAATGTAATTAAAATTATTTAGTATTATAAACTATGAAATCAGAATAACGACAAGTGAACGTGAGTAAAAGTAATAGCCGGGAGTCCCAAGCGCTCGAAATGTTTACAAATATTGAACAAAATTAATACCAGCATATGAAATCAAGGTGGTAGAAATTGAACAAGCAAACAAGATACATGTGACACACGAATATAATGATAAAGAGTTGCATTTGATATTCTAAAATCTCACATTTGAGTTTACATTTATAGTAAAATTTATAATTTCTTTAAAAATGCGAAATTCCAACAAGAGTACTTATATAATAATATCTGTCATTCATCTAATATAGTGTTTAAGAAACAAAGTAACTAAGCCTCAAGTTTCGATGCTTCCGTTCAAAGCAATTAAAATTTTTATTTCATTTATAATATACTAACTTAATTTTTAGATTTAAAATATTGATCAGTTTGTTTGTAAAGATAATCTATGATAATAGCGAAAAAAACAAATTTTGGTTGGACTTATGCAATGTAAAAAAGATCGTTTTTTCCCACTTACAACCGCAGACTTTTAATTGTGCAATTAACTTCAGCATAATTAACGTGGAATTCTTTCTGTATACTGAGTTCTGTTAGAATCTTTCTTTCTTCGTTTAAAATCTTTTTTCTTCGTTTATTGTCAGCATTACTCGATTTATTCCCACATGTATTATCTTTTTTTTTTTAATTCTCATGTAATTTAAGGGTGTAGAGTCTACGCCCTTAACCTACACTGTAGACGAATAGTCAGCAGAGCATTTTTCTTGTTTCGCAATGCAAAGAATGTATTTTTCCTGAATTTGACATTTTCTGCTCGGAAATTAAAGCATTTTTTAGTATTTGTCAATTCAAGTCTATGAAAATTTATCTCATAATAAGCATCTGCTTATTCATTGTGCCCCAAAAGTTTTTAAGATATTTTCGCCGACCGCATAATTACCACGTTCCACGTGAATATCACAGGCGCAAAAGCAGCTGTTCGCGTCAAAAGTCTACGAACATTGTAAGTATTTTACCGATTTTATTTAATATAATTAATGAAACTTAAAATCTTTCGATAGAATTTATAATACTAAGAAAATGGCTTATTTTTAAAGGTACTTTTTAAAACTCCAATCACAAATAATTATTTCCAAATAGCTTCGCAATATCGGTTTGTTAATTTAATTAATGAATCGATGTCTATGCGACGATTACTTGTGAACGAAGTTACTTAGACCAGACTTCATCCCACGAATTTCACTCGTGGTTTCCAACGAAATCCAATCCTTCCTTGCTTAAAATTGATTTTGCAGCTTCAAGGGAGACACTTTCCTCCTATTCATTACTATTTTAAATGTATAATCACTGAAAGAAATAAGGTAAAAATTATCAATTAAAAATCTAAATAGAAAGAGATTGAACTTTGATGAATTGGGTCGTGCTTCATCTGAATCGTAAACTGTAACGTAAATTATTCGCTGAAAGTCTTCGTAGAGATCTTTCGCAGTAAAGTAGATTTTAATTCATTAACTATCAATGTGAGTCAATAATTATTGGAGATGAAATAGTAAGATTTAAGAATTAAAGAAAATTTTCAAAAACTTATTAGTATTTGAATTGTAATGTTATATCGTCAGGTAAAAAATATCCATCAGCGGAGTCTGAAATTATGACTTACATTCTGTAATTGTTACAAACATCCATCGTCAATTGTAAAATAAACACTCTTAAAAGAACACGTACATAACGTCGCTGTCATAGCAGAAAATTTAGTACAAAAGTCGATGCTAACAGACCGTGGTGAATGTGTTTAGTGTCGATTAGCGAAGACTTAACGACATTTTTGTGCTTCTTGTATACTTTCTATTACATAGAGCTAACTGCAATGCAGAGATATTTGCCCCCTTCATCGAGTTCACTTGATATGGGTTCCTATAGAAGAAAATAGAGTATAGTTTTTATCGTTTAAATCTAATTTTGTACATTCATTTTTCTTCGTGGTTTAAAAAAAGGAATATTGCATTCATAAATATTAGTTAAACAATAACCATTTTCCCGACCTTGCATAAAATTTCACTTTATTATTCTAAGCCCAATTGTGAACTTTTATGGCTGTTTTACATCTTTTTTATAACCTCTATGAAAATTAAATTTTTCCAAAGTTTCTGTGCATAATTATATTTGTTACCTCGACAAAAAATGGTAGAATTGAAAGTTTAATGAACGCAATCTCGCAGAGTGTGAGATGAATCCACATGGTAATTTTCATACGAAATTCATTTGTTATTTTGCTCTAAAAAAATCAATTATTTGAAATCAAATTCTCAATGAAAAATAATAAAAAAAGTCACGTTAATGAAAAAAGCGTGTGGCTCAGTTGTTTTATTTCACACAATCATTGGAAAAGAGGCTATTGTGATTTGTTTAAGCTGCAATTAAGCGTAACGCTGAAGTACGATAATTTCGCGGTTTTATCATTTCCCGCTTTAGGAAAATTAAACGCGTTAAAATATATTACAAGCGGGAGCGCATGTGGGTCAGTGAAGTAGTTTTTGGCGCGCATAGAATTATATTACCATTATAGGCGTAGTTTGCATCTTTTTGCTTCGCGTGTTAGCCCGACGAATAATTGCGCGTGCGAGGGCGAGCTTCTATGCTTGCACAGTTAAAATATATAATAAACATTACAAGAGTCGTGTGCGCCGCATCACACAAATAGCGCATGCGGCCGCGAGCTTAGCACCCGTTTGCCTTTGCAAATATAGCTTTCGTGCCCGCGAGCTGTGTTTGTGCGCGTACATATATGAGGATAGAAAATTTTTATCAGGTGCCGGCGATCGAGTGACGTGCTAAATGCCTCTCATTTTTTTTTAAATTGAAGACCGACATCAGGTCAAATACTATTTTTACGAGATATGTTTCCTAATAAACAGTACATTTATCCGTCATATAAGAGCGTGATGCATTACGATCTGTTTTGATGCGCTTTATGTTTTTTTTTCGTGTACATGATAATCGTGGAGCGAGTAGATTGAATTTGATATACTTAATTTATGAACCGTATCGTTCATTATTTCAAGCAATAACCGATGTTTATAAAATTAGCAAAGAAATTATAAATAGATCGATGGTAAATGTACCAGTTACATTGGAACGACAACGACGAGATTGTTTTAAGAAGAAATTAAAAATGGAAATAAGACATCATGATGGCTGCATGTCAGTAATTTTCTCGTTTTACTCATTTCTCATGAATCTTTATGAATCCAAAGTGAAAATAACGCGAAAATGTGACTAAAAATGATCTTCGTAAATATTTAATTAACATGAATTCTTTAGTCGGTGAAATTGAAATCTATCATCAATGCGAGCCCCGTCCTGAAATAAGTCAAATTAAAATTATCAATTACGATTCCAGAATTCCATCATACCCGCGCGCACTCGGTCGCGAAAGCTACCCCTCTCGTGCTCGTGTGCACGCTATGCCCGAGCCCTGTTTTGCCGCGAAACACAACAACGCGTCAACCTTCCCCCCGCGCACACAGACAAATCTATACACATGCACGGGAGCAGCGCAAACTTGCAATTAGCTGCACCTCAAAACAAACGAGCTGTCCCGGTGAATAGGTCGCGAAGCAGAAAGCTTCCGACGATCGTAAATAACCGAGCGACGAGCGCAGCCAACGAGTATTACTGCCGCGTGTTCAAGAGTCGAACGCTTTGAAACGTTTTATCCATTGTGCAGCTATAATCGTCAAAATTCTGGGAATATTATCGCGCTCATGAATTATTCGCGTTCGTATGTATTTACACGAACATGAGCGTACATGCAAGTTATATTATATTCAATATAAATAGATTTGCGAATGATATGTCATAATAAAGGGATCGGGCCGCAGCTCGTTTGCTACAGAATCATACGCCCACTTCTGTATTTGCTCGCACTTGTCAACCGCACGAATGTTATACGAGATAAAAAAATTTTCAGATTTCTTAGTGCCCACATAAAACGATTGATTTTTCTTACGCGTCCCTCGCAACGATACGTGCTCTCCGTATATTCTTACGCGAACTCGATAAGTCCGTAAACCTATAGTTGCGCCCGTGAGCAAGGCAGTCAACGAGTGATGGACGGATTCGTTTCTATACATATACGTTCGTATATAGCTGCGCAGCAAGTGCGTTTGATATTGATATAAACGAGCCTTGGTCACTGGTACGCTTCAACTCGCGACTTTTCCAAATCGCTGCGCATTTGTAAACCCCTTTTTGCGAGAGAGAGATGCAGAGAGAGAGAGGGGGGAGCCGCTAGGGATTTCAGCGTGTACCGAGACCCCTCCGCTTTTTCAGCGAATGACTATCAGCGAGTGGCGCTTTTAAAGCGTCCGCGATACACGAGATGAATTTCGCTCTAGAGAGATATGGAATATTGGCTCGTTGAATGTTCTCATCGTGGATATTGTATCTAATTATAATTTGTCAACGATGTTTTTTTTTCCATTATGGCAAGTGATATGCTTTTAGGAAAATGAGTTTTTATTTGGTCTTTATGCAACAGTAAATTGATCCGTTTGAACGTGTTCCCAACTAATTATAGATATTTTGTACTGTCAACGAAAATCGTACGACAAAATCGAAGCGACGAGAAAAAAAATATCCGTCAAAAAGATTCATTGAACTTCAGCTAGCTTCTGTATGACTAGGAAAAGCGACACATCATTTATTCGTGAAAAAAAAGGCGAAACCCGCATCGTCATATATAATCTAGCTTTGAAGTCCTTTTCATGGATATTCTTGTTCTCATGTAATACACGTCGAGCCGTCAATTTTCTTCTGTGAGTTTCGTCTTTATAAGGCCACACACTTTTCCACTTTTACTTCCGCACACGTATACCACGCGCGACATGCGGCGCGGCGCGTCTCACACGCACACACTTTGAAAACTGTTCGCGATGTCGACGTCCGACGATTACTTTCCCCATCGGACGATATCATCCCTTATCGATGTCCAGACGATCGCC